GACCAGGTCCGGCTTAGCTGCCAGGAGCCATGCAGGCTGCACAAACAGTTTTTCTCCTGGGTCATCAGCACCCCAACTACCACCATGCCCTCTCAGTGCCGGGTTCGCTGGGGCCACAGCCAGGGCAGGGGAGCCCGTGGGGAGCCAACCGTCGTATCCCACCCTCTGGGGTGGGGCACAGGGGGTGGGGGGAGGATAAGAAGGGGAAATCCGGGGGCAGCGAGACAGAAGCAGCTCCATCTTCACTGCCTGCTCTGTCCTGCCACCACCCCCTCCGCTCCCCCCGATGCTGCGCGTTTGGCCCTGTGAGAGACCCTGGCCCGCTGCCCCTGGGAGCCAGTGCCAGGAGCCCTCACAGCTGTCCCGGCCCCACATCAGAATCTCAAACAAACACTGTTGCCTAGAAACACTGCCTCACCCCAGCATCCCCAGGCTGAATCATGGGACCAGAGCTGCTAGACCAGGGCCTGCCCAACCCTTTCATTTCCCAGACAGAAAGACTGAGGCCCAGAGACGTTGAGTTCATGGAGTGAGTAGGGGGCAACCTGGGATGAGCCCCGAGACCTCTTGCCACCATGTAAGGCACGAGACCAGTGAGCCCTCTCCTGGCACTGTGACCACACGCTGCCGGGCACGATGTTGCTCAGTAAATACTGCTCGTCGACTTCAAGTTTGAATTCACAACCCAGGCACAAGTCTTTTCACAAAAGCAACAGCCCCTCAGGAGAGCAAGCAGCTGGCGAATCGTTCCCACCCTTGGCCTGAGCCCTCACTTTCGGGTCTATGCCCCCAAGGAAATGGACCAGAAGATAAAGTGGAACATTTGTGCAAAGATGTTCCAGCCGCCTGTCTAGAACTGTCTAAATCTGGCGATTAATCACACGCCCCAAACAGAGGGGCAGCGTCCCAAGGATGAGAGCTGGACGCCCCGGAATGTTGTTTTGCCCTTTAAGGTGAAAAGACAGAAACGGGGCAAAGGAAGGCGGGGGGCGGCGGGGGAGCGAGAATCGATCATGGGCCAGAATGGAAGACCCCCACGAGAGCACCGCATGGACATCCACACATCAGAAGGGACGGTGGACGAGCAAAACAAATGGCTGCTGAAGCCCCGGGGATGTTTTCTTTGAAGAGGATTGCCCGACTCTGGGACTGGAGAAAACGGAAGCGTTTCAAATATTCTTCAGAATCTCCTGATAAGGCAACTGTCCCGCTCTGGGCTCAGAAGTGCGGCATGAGTGTGTCCGTGGGTGTTCCTGTCTGTCTGTCTGTGTGTGAGTCTGCATGTGTGTCTATGTGTCTGCGTCTGTATGTTCAGGCCCAGGCCTGGGAGCTGGGGATCCCAGTCCCCCCACAAGCGTGTGCTTGTGTTTCCTGCCCCCACGGACTGTGAATTCCACTGCCAGTCCCCTTCCTCCATCCCGGAAGGCTGGCGGGACAAGAGGGCCTGCCACTCCTGCTCACGCAGAGGTGGGGAGGGTGGAGGAGGCCTCAAAGGGACATATCTTGTTTCTGAACTCTGGCCGCACCACCAAACTACAGAGAAACAGTTTGACACCCTAGTGCCAGTGCTTCTGCTGGCGATACTAACTGCACTGCGTGGACTCTTCCACAGTGGCCACTACAGAGCCAGCGAGGGTCTTCCCAGGATCCCTCCCGTCTGGAAGTAGCTCAGGACATGTGCAGGGAGCACAAGGCTCGGCCCAGAGGGACAGGACTCAGTGTGTAGCAGGCCAGGCCTCCAGCTTCCAACAAGACAGCTTTGAAGCCGTGTCTGCGAGCATCTCAGGGGAGCAACCGTCTGACCTTCCCCACCCCGCCCCTGGCACCTGGTGAGGCAGGCGTTTTCCTGGGTTGGTTGGTTTGTCAAAACTCCATTTTCTGACAGAATCGCTGTGTGCCTGTAAGAAACAGATCTTTGTTCTGTGTGGGGAAGTTGTCAGAAGGTCCCAAGCCTGCCGGTGAATCTTCAGATACCGATCAGAAGTCGGTGAGGGTAGTCATGGCAGCCTCAAAGGGGGGACAACCCACGTGCCACCACCAGATGAATGGATAAGCCAACGTGCGGAAGCCACGCCGGGGAACCATCTGCGTCAGGAGAAAGGACGCTCTCCCACGTGAGCCGACAAGGACGGATCCTGAGCACGTGGACCACACCAACACGCCGGTCTCCACGCTGCTCTGAAAACGGTTGCCTTAGAAGGTCCTAGAGAGGGCGGAGCAAGTCACACAGGCCTAACAGAGGCCCAGCTTCCTGTTCAGAAAGATGCAGGTAGAACCCCCGAGACCAGGGTCCTTAGTCTCCTTCCAGGTGGGAACTGAACGCACACCTGTGTTGAAATCATCAGCTCAGATCCAAGGGCAGCCTGTAGCCAAGGACCAAGTGGAGAAGGTTGGGAGAGGAGGAGGCATGGAAACAGGAGACCCAAGGAGACGGCAGAGAGTGTGACAATACACGGGGGTGATTGCAGTGGACAAGTTGATACAAACTATTGAACATAAGATTGCATGCTGTTCCATAAAGCTTCACCTAACTCACAATGAAAAGTTTAAAAAAGCACAAAACCCCGGGGTTATACAATGAACCATGAGGTAGAACAGAAATACTAAACATGCTATGAAGCCAATGAACAGAAGTGGTCTCATAAAACCATAACCCTAACCTTCCAACCAAGAAACCCTATCCCATGATATGGTGTTTAGTTGGCTGTAAGTAGCCTCGGCCCCAGCTATTTTGCCACTGTTATAAACATATCTATTACAGAGCTTTTGACGAGACAACTTTTTAGAGATGCACAACTTATGGACAGCAATTATAGTGACCGGCTCTGCAAGCCTACCCTTAACCAATGTGGTATTTCCATCGCTGTTCACCACCACCACACACCCCACTCTCTCCTTCCCTCCTGCTCCTCCCCGCCTTTGGCTGTTCTCGTCCACACACGGTTTGTCCTGCTGTGACTGACTGACTCGGCTCGGCACCATGTCTTCAAGCCCCACCCAGCCCGTGCCTAACCCAAGGCTCCATTTCTCCTACTGGCCAGGTGGTTCTGCAGTGCACGGACGGAGCCCAGTTTGGCTGATGGGCAGCTGGGCTGCTCCCCCCTTTGAGCTACTGTAAATAGTGCCGCCATGAACATCCGTGTTCACATCTGCTTTGTGAGCCTCTGCTCCCACCTCCTTGGGGTATGGACTGGAATGGCTGAATCACGTGGGTGACATGGCCCACAGCTGCTGTACTGTCTACTTCCACGCACCACCACCCCAAGCACTGGATAAGGGTGCCCACTGCCTCACATCCTCACCAACATTGTCATTTCCTGTGCCTTCTATCTTCGCCATCCAAGTAAGACAGTGACTTTGTTTGGGATGTACGGACTCTCACACCTTCCACAAGAGCACGAGTTCAATACGCCCCCTTTACAGATGGGCGGGAGAAAGACGGGGCTCTCTACTCCCGTAAACTGTTCCGGTCTCAGAAAACCACGGGGGCCATTCTAGCCTGTCCTGAACCGTCTCTACGAGCCAGCCCTGACGCCATGACAACGAGTGTGTTTTTTTGTTTGTGACTGGTTGCGCAGTGGTAACACACTGAGTCACTAACCACACGCTCAGCAGTCCCAAACCACGAGCAGCTCCACTGGGGAAAGACAGGGCTTTCTGTCCCCTAAAGAGTTATGGTCTCAGAAACCCACAGGGACCCTTTCCCCTCGAGGGTCGCTCTGAGTGGCCTGCACCCAGTGGCCGTGAGTTACAGATGGAGGGACAAGCCAGAGGACGAGCAGCCGTCCGAGGTCACAGAACAGTCACAGGGAACGGATGTGAATTCACAGTGCCCGGCATCCTTTTCCTCCTCATGAGCAAACTCCGGAACCTCATCCGTCTCCAGGGGGAAATGCAAGCCAGCGAGGAAAGAACAAAATTGTAGGATTGCAAAAGCGGTTCGTGCAAATTTATGGCTCCCAGTTGATCTATTATCGCATGACAACAAGGAGGGGTGAACAAATCAGAATGTACACACACCCCCTTTTCCGTCTGAGCCATAAGTAATCATGCGCCTGGCCACCCCGCCGGCCGTGCTTGGGACCAGGCCTTCTGGGGAGAGGTGCATCTATGTGTGTGCCGCTGGGTCCAGGTCCTCGCAGAGCACCCCCTACTTCTCTCCCCAGGCACCAACGGACCCAGTCCGGTGCCCTCACAGCTCCCTGAACCCTGCTGACACAGGACCCCGACCACCCTCAGAGGGCGCAGACGCTGGCTCAAAAGCCCACCAAACCAATGTTCTCACATTTGTGTGGGTGCTGGGGGATGGGCTGCTTGGGAACGCAGCTTGGTCTGGAATTTCTCAAAGACCTCGCCAAGGTTGATGTCACTGGCCGGAATGCAGTCCCCTCTCAGGGTCAAGGGTCACCTCTCCTATTAGCCAGAACCTCCCGGATAGCAAACACCCCTGCCCTGGGGGTGGGGGTGGGGCCTTGGAGGGGCTAGGTAAAGCTCAGCACTGAAAGATGCGCAGGGCCAGCCTCCTTGCTCACTGCCCAGTGCCCGATCCCAAAGCAGGGCCTGCAGAGGGCTGAAGGGCGAGAGAGAGGCTGAGTCAGACCATCTGGCTACCAGATACCTTGTCCCTCAGCAGTGGGGGCTCAGGTAGTCTGTGTGATGGTCAGGGTGCATCCCAACCCTAGCCACTCACCCCACCTATCTGCCTCAATCTCACCTGGTCAGTTCCCATCACAGGGGCTGCTGATCAGAATAAATGAGATTCTCCCTTCAGGAGCCAGGGACCATTGCATTAGGGGCTCACCCAGTGGGACCCACCCTGGATGTCCACGCACCCACTAAGGCCCACCGAAATGCTGCAGGGGGTCTTCGGACCCCTGCAGGACATATAAAGCCTAAGTGTGGAAGTGAATAAACACCCCTGGGGGGAGGGGCTGTCCCCAAGGTCCACCAGCTGTCCCTCAAACCCCATATCCCTCCACCTGAGGCAGTCGATTGGTTACCTGTCTGGGACAAGTGGCATGCGGTGGGAGTCCTTCGTCCAGGTGACCAGGGGGGTTGGGGAGCCTTGGGCCTCACAGTCCAGGGTCACCTCTTCACCGGCCTTAGCTGTGACTCTCAGGGGCAGGCCTTCTTCCTGTGAGCCGTTCGCCTGAATCCTGGGCTTGGCTGCGGATGGAAGCCAGCAGGGGTTGTGAGCAGGGAGGGTGGGGGCTGGTGGAGATGGGAGCAGCTACCCAAGGAAGCAGAGGTGGGGCCCTGACCCTTGGAAGCCCCAGTCAGGTGCAGCCTGTTTCTACATCCCAGGGAGGGAACAAGCTGCGTGGGGCGGGAAGGCCCCAATCCTCCTCCTCCTCCCTCTTCCCACATCCACTCCCCCTCAGAACCCATCTTCCTGTGGTGGCCCCCTATGGCAGCAGCTTAACCCCCTCTGGCTTCTCTGCCTCCTCCTGTCCTGCCCTGGGGACATTCCAGAAGATTCCATCCTCTTCTGGCTCCCTTCCCCCTCTGGGCCATCTCACTGATCCCCAACCAGACTGTCTGCAGTCCTCTCAAGCCCCGTAGGGGTTTTATAATGACCTGAGCAGCCTCACCCCTGCGCTGGATGTCAGGGACGCAGCAGCAAATGAGACAGGCCAGTCCCCACCCTCGTGACTCTTAAGGTACATGGGAACATGGCCACCAAGATGCAATTACTATTTAGTCTCGGTTGTGTTGAGTGCTCTGGAGGAGAACTTTCTGATTGTGTGCAACAAGGTGACTTGACCCGGGAGGGCCATCAGGGAGAGGGTTCCACGCAGAAGGAACCGCGTGAGCAAAGGCCCTGGGGGCAGGACAGAGCATTCAGGAAGATTAAAAGAAGCCAGAGCGTCTGGGGCACAGAGAGTGGGGAAGGGGCAAGAGAGAGGGATGCTGGGAGGTTGGCGAGGGCTAGTGCGGGGCCTGCGGTCATCCCAAGAGGGGTTAGAACTGCCTTCAAGTTTGCCCATGGAGCTTGGGACAGTGTTCTGAGAGAGGGGACCTTGGGTCTAGCTGTTTTCAGAAGAGATTTTAGAGACAGGGCTGGTCAGAGGTGGTACCTCTTCAAGGTGCGAGGCAGATGCAGGGAAGGCCAGGCTGACCATTCCTCTACCCCCTCTCCCAGAGGGGCACTGCCAGCACTCACTGTTCACAGACAGCCACATCTCCTGGCTGGAGAAGCCCACAGGGTTGGTGGCCGTGCAGACATAGGCCCCTGCATCCCGGGCAGATGGCCGGGCGATGACCAGAGTGCCATCCTGACTCACGTTGTAGCGGGGACCCAGGGAGGTCAAGGTATTGGTTTCCTAAGACAGAGCCACAGGTGACATCAGTAGAGCACCCACGCTCCACCGCAATTTGCATCAGTCCCCTCCCATGATGCACTAGGGCCCACCTCACCTGGGTCCAGGTAATGGTTGGGGTGGGGACTCCCAAGGCCACGCAGGGAAGAGAGGCTGGAATGCCTTCATTGGTGACATGGTGGGTGGCTGTGGTCTGGATTCTGGGTGGCACTGTTGAAAACAAACCAATTTGAACAGGAAAATGGAAACAGCATCCCACACGCAGGCAGGAGCACCTGGCCGGGGCAAAGCGCTGCCCTGGGCAGGAACCAGCTGCACTATTTCTGGGCTCTGGGACTTCGGATTAACCACTGACTCTTTGTGTACACTTATTTCCTGACCCCCAAAAAAAGTTAAAGTCGCTCTGTTTTTCTGTTCCTTCCCTCAGGGATGGACAGAGGAGAAAGGGCAGGGGACAGGACTCCTGAACACCCAAAGCCAAGCCCAGCCTCCTGTCATTAGTTCAAGTCCAACCCCGAGCGACCCTGCATGGGGTTTTGGAGCCTGTACATCTTTAAGGGGACTGACAGCTTCATTATCTTCCTGTGGGACAGCAGGTGGGTTAGAACACTAGCCCACAACCCAATGCACTTTGACAAAGTGTCAAATCCACAAAAGAGAAGGTCCACAGCTGGGAAGGAAGGGCTATTTGCTCCCATTCACAATGAGCACATGTAAGTACTTTAAATGTAAGTAACACACACCCCCCTTATTCCTCACCCATCAGACCTGAACACCGGTGTGAGCGGTTATACTCAATCACTGCCGGCGAGTTGATGCCGATTCAGAGCAACCTAACAGGACAGAGTGGAACTGCCCCTGCGTTTCTGGGACTGTAACTCTTTAGCGGAGTAGAAAGCCACCTCTTTCTCCCACGGGATGGCTGGCAGTTTCCCACTGCTGACCTTGCAGCCAGCAGCCCAAGATGTGGCCACTACACCACCAGGGCTCCTCATGAGTGGTTATAAAAGGAAGAAAAACAAAACTGAAGCCGACGTCAATTCTTTTGGTGACACACAAGCTAGTTTCCTACAAAGAGAAACTGTCCACTCCCTTCTGAGCACCGTGCAGAGTTGCAGGCCTGCAAACAGTGGTCTCTAAGAGAAGCAACCGCAGGGGAAGTTGGGTGTGGGAAAGTTGGGAGGGGACCCAGAAGCCCCATGAAGGAGGGAAACGCCCTTCCAGTCTCCCAGGCAGCCACAGCCCAAACCCAAACACCCCCAAACCTGTTGCAAACCATCAAGTGGATCCCACACGTTACAGGATCGAACTTCTCCATCGAGTTTTTTGTGGCTGTCACCTTTTGAGAAAGCAGATCACCTGGCCTCTCTTCCACACTCCTGCACGGGGAGGGCTAGAAGTGCCACCTTTCGGGTTAGCAGTTGAGGGCAAACTATTTGCGCTACTGGTGGGCCGTGGCCGGCAAGTCAATACACATGTGTTGGATAGAAATGAATTGGGTCGAGAGGGACCAGCCGACCCACAGGCATGTCCATTGGGAAACAGGGTGTGGCATTCTGCAGTCTGGGTCTGTCCCAGCCACACCATGGGCTGGCTGCGTGATCTCGATAAGCTACCTCACCGCTCAGCTTCCCTAACTTGGAAATTCAGAGTCTTTAAATGACCTGCTTCTTAGAGTTGTCATGAAAAACCATGGTGTTTTCTTAATCAGCAATACAAAGGCAGTGGGACTGGGCTATGTGCCAGTGCGGCGGCAGATCCCTGACATGAGGCATGGCCAGCGCCCAGGACATTGCCCAGCACGAAGAGTGAGCCCCAGTGTCGACTCTGGACTTCAGTTAACAGTCGAATATTAATTTCAGTTCATTAGTTAGAGCTAATGTACACACAGATGCAAGAGATTAAGAGTGGGGAAAGTGTAGAGGGGCGGCTGGGGACAAACGAGAACTCAGTACTGTCTGTGTGCTTTTAAAAAATTTTTTGTAAGCCTAAAACTTCTCTGAAAAATCAAATGTAATAAAATCACTCAGAGGTTTAAGAGAAAGCATATGCAGATCTTAGCGGCGGGTTCGTGCCTGGGAAATGCGGTCTTTTATTGGATGGGGGGGTGGGGGGCGGGCAACACCAGGGTTCACAGCTTGGCCCCTCTCTGAACTCTGGGTCTTTTGCTATGAAATGGAGAAGGCTGCGTTCTTCTTGCTTGCCCCCCCCACCCCCGGGGGTTTGATGAACCCCATGGAAAAAAAGAGGATCACCCTGGAAAATGACCAAGTACAATCACACTTCGTGTTGTACTGCTTGACTTTTTGCTTAACTCATTTGTGGGACGTGGGTGGAGGTTGCCAGAGCTGATGGTCAGCGTGGCGGCGATCGTTCACAGGTGTTTTGCTCCAGCTCCTTCGCTGCAGTCCTGATGCACCTGCGCTCTCCCACTGTGCCCACCTCCGATCGCCCTGCCCTCCTCACCCTCTCAGCTCTGCCCGATCACAAATGCTGCCCCTTGATCTCAAGTGGTAGCTTACGCTAGGTCTCCCTTTAGACCTGAACGTCGTTTGCCTGGACATTGAGCCGTGTGTGTGTGTGTGTGTGTGTGTGTGTGTGTGTGTGTCTGCTTCAGGCCTGAAGGGTGACCAAGAGCCCGTGTCTCTGGGTTTCCTCCAGTATCTGACCAGTAAGGCTGGTCTACTTCATGATTGGGTGTTTGGGTCCACATTTTTCTCCCCCTCTATCCAAAACCAAGCCAAGCACACTGCTCGCCGTGACCCTATAGGATAGGGCAGCACTGCCCCTGCGGGTTTCCATGACGGTAACTGTTTACGGGAGTAGAAAGGCCCCTCTTTCTCCCGAGGAGCGGCTGGTGGTTTCAAACTGCTGACCTTACGGATCACAGCCCAGTGCGTAACCACTTGGCCACCAGGGCTCCTCCCACTCCACGCAGGACCGACTTTCCTTCGAAGCCCCCTCGACAAGTGGATTTAAAAACCACCCAAGTGGGGGCTCCTCGGGACCGAGGTGTTCTGCTGAGTCTCCCAGGTCCCCCCAAAGCCCGACTACTTCTTCAATGCGCTGTTTGTGGGGGGACAATGGGGCTCCCTTTCATCCAGGGCCTTCTAATAACCAGACTTAGTTTCCAAATGGTCACGTGGCAGAAAAAGAGCTTACCATGAAATGACTTTTTAATCGTACAACAGAGAAATACCAGGTGTCACCACAGCACAAAGTTTTTAAGAATAGAAGGTTGAAGACGGCACCCTAGAGAAGTCCCAGGAAAGCCCGGACCCTGTGAGGACTGTGGTGGCCAGGTGGGCAGCGGGCAGCACGGTGACATCGTCCTCCCGGGGGAAACTAGACAGGTGGGGTGGGGCGGGGCGGGGGCACCACGGCTAGCCAACAGCAACCCCGCAGCCACCACGCCTGTCTTGCGATCCGCGGTAAAGCGGAAAACAGCCCTAATGCATTGTGGATGGGAAATCTCAAGCCGCAAGCCAGTAACGCATTAGACCCCAGGTTCATTTTAAAACACTTATTTGTATGTGTCTATAAAGAATTTACAGATATGTAGGTGTAAATGTATAGGTATATAACACTATATGAAGACTCTACATAATTCATATATATATATTTATAATGTACACACACATACTACATAGTCCAGGTAGTCCCCAATTTACGATAGGATTCTGACATAACCCAGAGACTTCACTGAGTTTTATTTTCCTTTTCATTATTATTGGCTTGTACTGCCGGTACCTGTATAAATCCAATCTCTATTTGTCGGCAGGACTTGAAAACATCACATCTGAGAGTGGTAAACGCCATCAAATGATGCACTGCAACAAGGTAGGTATTACTAATAATGAGATGGGGTGTTTTAAGCAAAAGGACCATCAGAAGTCCGTGTGTGTGTGTGTGTGTGTGTGTGTGTGTGTGTGAATGGATTCTAACTCATGGCGACTTCCTATCAGACAACAGCTCTAAAAGGTTTTTTGCCTGCACTCTTTATGAAACAGACAGTCATCACTTCCGGGGGGGCTGGAAGTACCAACCTTTAGGTTAGAAGTTGAGTACCAGCCATTCGAACACACGCAGAGACACACACACGTGGCGTGTGGCGTGTATGTGTAATATGGTGGTGATGCACTGACTGGGCTGAGACGTGCAAAGTCAACAGTTAGGAGCCACCAGCTGCTCCTCAGGAGCAAGACTGGGCTTTCTACGCCTGTCAACAGTTACAGTCCTGAGAACCCACAGGGGTCGCCATGAGTCAGCACTGACTCGATGGCAGTGAGTTTGGTTTGGGCTTGCAAATGTATGCAAAAAGCATAAAAAGTTATGCTTCAAATGCAGAAGTTGCTTATCTTAGGTCTCTATGGGTTAAGTCCTTAACTTTTGTACAGTGAATATGGTTTATTTGTGTGTTTCCCAGAAAGAGTTTTCAAAGCCAAGTCCCCCCATACAACTTCCCCCATCCTAGCCCACCCTCACCTGCACCCACCACCTTGGGGCCGAGACTCACCCTGGACCACCAGCTCCACGTCCCGCTGCTGAGAGCCAGCGGTGTTGGTGACCACACAGCGGTACTTCCCGGCATCCTCCTGTAGGGCTCGGGCTAGGTGGAGGCTGCCGTCTGCTCGGACAGTGTGCTGGCTGCCAGGTGGGAGCTGTGGGGTTGGGGTGGTGGTGGTGGAGGGAAACAGTTTGGGTGAGGGCCAACTCAGAGCCAGCTAAGAGACTCTCAGGAAACCATACGACCCACCCGCAGGGCAGTAGGGAGGAGGTGGGGTCAAGAAAGCAAGAGGTCAAAGAAGGTTGGGAGGCTGGGGATGCGATCTAAGTGGGGTAATGAGTGCCCACCCCCCACCCTCCCACAAACCCTGCAGGACTGGTGGTCCTGGGCTCTGCACGCCCACTCTGGCCAGCTGGACCAGGCCCGACTGGTCACCTGACCCAGCTGGACCAAATGGAATCTCTCCTGGGATTGTGGACCCGAGCTTTCCCTGGCAGGGGCTGGAGTCCAAGCTCTGAGGCCAAGGAGAAGGGAGCGGGGTCCAGAGGGACCAGGGCAGAGAACAGCTGTGCAGTTGTGGGATCACAACTCGCTCACTCGCTCACTCACTCATTCACTCACTGCCGTCAGGCCCACTGCCTATAGCAAGAGTGGAACTTCTGGTGCCTGAGGCTGTAAATCTTTCCAGGAGCTGAGAGCCTCACCTCTCTCCAATGAGATGGCTAGTGGCTTTGAACGGCTGACCTCTCAGTGAGCATCCCAACACGTAAGCCACTACACCACCAAACCAAAAAACGAAACACTGCCATCAAGTACACTCTGACTCACAGCAGCCCCACAGGACGGGGTAGAACTGCCCCTGTGGGTTTCTCAGACTGCTAGTCTTACGGGAGCAGGAAGCCTCGTCTTTCATGTTCGGAGCAGTTAGTGGTTTCGAACTGCCCAACTTGTCGCCACCAGGGCTCCTCGAACAGAAGAGCATGGATGTGGCCAGGTTCCAAACCAAGCTCGGCTACTCAGGCAGGCAGGGCCCAGGTGGCCCAGCTGTAATCATCGGGCTCCTGCCTCCGGGCTTGAAGCCTGGGCTGTGCAGTCAGCAGTCCCGGGTTCTGGTCCCAGCTCGACCACTAACTAACGAGCTGTGTGATCTTGAACCTGGGGCTAAACTCACAGAACCTCAGCTCACCATCTGTAAAATGTGGGAAATCCTTAGGTGTGAAAATCGGAGGAGAAAAGGCCCATCAGCACGTGCCTGGCCTGGCCTCTGTGTGCCCTGGGCCACTCCACTTCCATTGCTGTGATTGAAGGACAGCAGGGAGACAGGCGGCAGGCACCGGGGAAGGGTGTTCCTGACAGCGGGCTCCACCTGTGCTTTGTTTTGAGGAACAGGAAGCTGTCTGGCCAGACAGGCACATGAGACAAATGGAGGGAAATATCCCAAATGGAGAGGGGTGGGAATGGACGGGCAGGCAGCAGGGGGTCCCAGCCAGAAGCTATGGTAAAGGGCTTTGATTCCTGCTAGCCTGAATGGGGAGGAGAGGCAGCCTGGACCAGTGCCCAGGGCAAACAGGAGGAGAAAGGACCCCCTAGGGGTCTATGCTCTGTCTGCCTGGGGCCCTGTAAGGTGAAATGGGGGCAAGGGCACCTCTCTGTAGATGCAAGAGTACAAGGCTCCTGGCATGACTGAGGGCAGGGCAGAAGGGCGAGGGAGAGAGTGAAAGACAGTGAACAGGAGAGCCGAGACCCTAAGAAGGACTTTGATTCATTCCTTCAGTCTTCAAACCGTGCGACCCTCGGCACTGTGTTAGGTGTGCAGGGCGGAGATTACATTACTCACCGCCACATCTCTGACCTGGACCATCAATCAGAGCAGGGGTGGCAAAGGCAATGCATTTGCACCAAGGACCCTGCCACTGCCCTGCTCCCCACCCAACGCTGACAATGCCTCCAGTACTCCCGCCCACCCATCCATCCCTCTGTCCATCCGCCCACCCATCCATCCATCTATCCATCCATCCATCCATCCATCCATCCATCCATCCATCCATCCATCCATCTGTCCATTCATCCATCTGTCTGTCCAGTGATTGGCTGGACTACAGAGAGCAGCAGATGCTACTGGTGGATTACCAGAGAAGGTTCTGGAAAGAAGCATGAGAGAGGGAGGGGAGGAAGAGGGCCTTCCAAAAATAAGGCAGAGCCTGAGTGTGACGGGAGCAGCCCCTCCCGTCCTCAGGAGCACCGTTCACTTTCCCTGTGGGGCCCAGCACTCACGGGCAAGCCGGCCTTCAGCCAACGCCTCTCTGGGAGTGGCCTCCCCTCCAGGATGATGCAGGGCAGGGAGACAGGCTGCCCCTCCAAGACGCGGACTGTGGAGGCACTGCTGGCGATCTGCGGGGCAGCTGTATGGACAGAGGTGGGGTCAGTCGTACTGAGCACCCTCAGGGCAGAAGCTGCACTCCCCACCCTTTCCCCTCAGGACTGGGAATCATACAGGGCCAAGGGCCCCCAAGCACCACCCAGCAAGTGGGGATACAGATGTTCCTCTGGGAGAACTGGTGAGAGACACTTCTGTCCCAAAGGGCAGGGTCGGTCATAAGAGGCTTCCCTTGGGGGTCTATGGTCTAGCTTCTCCCAGCGAACCCCCCACCTGCCCCTGCCTCCCCCGCCTCTCCCAATCCACCAGCGAACCATGACCGATGACAGTGAGCCGCGCCTCCGCCTGCACCTTCCCGAAGACATTGCGAGCTTCACAGACATACAGAGCTTGGTCTTCTGGGGCCACACCTGCCAGGCAGAGCAGAGGCGCAGGCTGGATCCGGTCCCACCACATCCAGCTCCCCGGGCCATAGGGAAAACGCTTCACATCGCTGGTGGGAGCCCCTTAGGGCTTCACCCTGCAGCAGGGGCTACCCCTGAGCTTGACTGGTAGCCACTCAGCTTGTCTCCACCTCCCCTGTCTCCCGTGACCCACCAGAGGACCATGAGCAGTAACCAAGAGCAAGGCTGGGATGGCAGAAAGAAGAGGGATCAGGCGACACACCAGGCCTCAGAAAGGTGTGAAAGCCTCGCTGGTGCATCTGTAGAAAGGGGATCGTCGCTCGTCCGTGCAGTGTGATTGGGAGGGGTCAGGGAGAGGATGGCGATCCAGCACCCTGCATGGACCTGTGAGCAGTGCTGGGGAGATACCAGCGGGGTAGACGCTGCACAAGGAGTAGAAGAGTGGTGGTAGTGACAGCAGAAGATGGAGAAGTAGGAGCAAGAGTGGTAGTGGATGCGCCAGTCGTAGGTATATTC